TAAGGGTAGAGTGTATGTGTAAATGTACATGCAAAAATGAACAATGGATAAAAATATAAAAAATAGGTTGGAGAAATTGAGTATAATAAAACTGTTGATTACATGTACAAGTGTACATACATTGTACATGTACAATATACAATCAAACAGGTGCTGGAATACATGCACATGTACATGTAGTAAGCAAACCATGACTGCTAGCGTACATGTACATGTCCTTACATGTTCAGCTGATGGTAAACCAAAGGAGTGACAGTAGACAACATCATCAGGTTGATCCAATATGGCTCGTGTTACCATAGCAAATAATGACATCTTTGGTACGGCAGTACAGTAGGTTATCTTCTTGAGAGGGTAAGCCATGAAAAGCTCCTAAGAAGAAAGAAATAATGATTTGATTTGGTAACAAAGTAATAAATAATAATTGGCAGAGTGACATGTACTGTAAACCCTAGAAATTTAATAGCCTTTATGTGTAATGTTTTTGCAATGGTGGTATTAACGTTCATTAATTTTAACAATTTTTACAACTGAGGTAACTAATTGCACATTGATAACGTTCATTAACTTTAATTAAACTAGGCCAATAGTTAAAATAGCTAAAATTAATAGATAGTGACTACTGATAGATTTACAGTACATGTACTGTACATTTACATGTACATGTACATGTATTCCTGTTGCATGTGCACATATCATGTAGTTATCACATGTTATTGTTGTTATGTTGTGGTTGTTGGTGCTTTTGTTACAGATATACAGAAATCCGTTATATCAGGTTGGGCTCCTATCTCTTCAACAAACCGAATATTTGAAAGTATAGTACATGTACAATGTACAGTACATACATGTACATGTAAAGTAAAGAAAATACATGTAAGCTCCAGGAATTGAGAGTGAATTCTATTAGTTTACCTTGCTCTTGTATATCTTGACTGAGTGTCTGTTAATGATCATTGTAGCTGATATTGGATTACCCACATTCTGTAATGAGATATAAATAAACTAACAGTACAAGAGTACATGTACAGGGAAATACACTAACAGTGCTATACACTTAAGTGTACATGTACATGTATATGTACATGTACATGTATATGTACATGTACATGTATATACAGTGTATGATCTGTGCCTGTACAGTACTTTTACATAGGGTGTACAGTATGTATAGCAGGTAATTTTGGAGGGGATTAAATTTGGCGAATTTGGCGTTTTGATAGTCATTCACCAAAATAAAAATCTGCCATTTTAAGCAATTATACGATGCTCAATGGCACGTGGCAACAAATTCGCCAAATTAAAATCCGCCAATCACTAAAATTTAGCCCCTCCAAATTTACCCACTATACGGTACGTAATGTATACAGTATATTTACATGTACAGTGTACAGTGTATGTACTTTTGGGTTGATAGCGTTAATCCTTTCCCAGACAAACCCGGAGATAGCTCTCTGGAGATCCTTACCAGAGAGACCAGGAGGAGGGTACACTTTAAATGATCCAACATACTAATAACAATAAATAAATAATAATAATAATTATTATTATTATTATAATTAATAAAGAAACAATAACCAAAATTAATGGTATCGAGTTCAAGTACAACAAATTCTACAATAATTATACTAATAACAGATAATAAGTATATTAAATTTTGCAAGACTAATAGTGAATCAGATAATTTAGTACAGAAAATTAATAGGCTTTATCAAATAATATACAATGTACTGTAAGTAGTAACAAGAACAACTTTAATCAAATATCTTCACATTTTAAAGTTTTTTAGTAAAGTTTATTACTAAATATATTTTTAGAAAATATCTGTTGTTGTAAAATGAGTATGCCACATATAGACATGATGAAACTAGCATGATTATGCATCAACTTGTAATTCCACAACTCATTTACATGAAAGAGTAAAGATTGTATTACCAGGATATGCTACTTCCAGTTGCTACCATAGTAGAAATGGGGAATTACTCACAAGACAATCTTGTACAGATCATGTGTAACATGGGAATATTCCGATTGTAGCAAGTAATGAGCCAATAATAGTACAACATTCTAAATGAGCTCACAAGATATTTGCCATTGCACTCATTTAAGGATATTTACATGTAGGTACAAAGTGTGCCAACTCATGCCAATAATGCAAAATTTGTAATGATAACCACAATAAATGATGCATCCAAAATAGAGCATAAGTTTATCACATGAACCAATCTAGAATTCAATCCATCATCATTACTATAAGTATTATAAGTTCCTGAACTCCAACCTTATACTGTGCTATAGGACATTATATCATACAAGTACATGTACATGTACAGTGTACATGCTCAATCCTCTAGTGTATAATAAATCTAATTGTGATTCAATAGTTCAGACCAACCCTTCAATCATATAACATTACATGTGAACAACAACCTCTACCAGGTTCTGTCTAGAAATAAATTAGAGGTGGTTGGAGACTAATATTGTTCCTTTTAAATTTATGTACACCATACTAGTAGACTACAATATCATGCTTTAAGTATGGTTATTAGTCATTAGTATTAATTGGGTGGTTGGTCTAAGTGATGAGCTGGTTGGTTCATTTGTTGAGGTGGTTGTCCTGACCACCCCTGACCACCATAGCCAGAACTATGCTCTATTATTTTACAACACATGTACAGCACATGCTCAGACATGTACATGTACACATGTACATGAACATGTACATGAACATGTACATGTAAGTGTACTATTGTTTTGTCCAGCTTAATAATAACAATGAACTGAGTTATGGTCTCTGATACAGATAGAAATTAAACCACACGTACAAGTACATAAGCTAAATTTACATGCACACAAATCAAGTCAACATGTAGATGTACATGTATTCTGATTAATTCCGGTTCATAGAAATACAAACAAAACCTCTTAACTAGTTGGCACACATTTTAATCATTGGCTGTACTTACTTCCTTACATTTCGTATGTACAGCTACATTAAGACTTACATGTGCTTGGATTGGTGACATGTACTTACCTGTTACAGAACTATATGTACATGTACATGTATATAAATGAACTCTTTTGTAATAAAAGAACCCATTCAGACTCACTTTTACTTTCTTCTTTGCACCAGCAGGTCCTTCTTCAGGTATATCGTCAGACACTGCTCCCCTCACAATTTTGAGTCCCCCGATATGTCTATCAATCTGTTCGATCCTTCTCGCTTCCTCCTCGTGTCTCTCTATGCTCTGGAGCCGCTTCTGAGCCCTTAACATGTACATGGTTTCCTTCTAGTGTAGACAGAGCTGTCTTTTAGTCCAGATATCAGTGAGTTGAGTGGAATATGAGCAGCAAAGCCAGCAGCAAGGTTACTTATTACACACCCCAACAATTTTAACCCTCTTTATTACTCATATAACGTCATAATGAAAAAAGGGGGCGTGCCTTAAGCTGCTTTTATTTACTTTACGTAATTACAAAAATGAGGTATGACATGTATGATCACTATAGTACATGTTATCAGTCGGGCAGCCAAGCAACCGGAAGTCCATATAAATTGTGTATAAACCTATTTCTCGTTCATTGAGCAACTGCGTGGGTGGTAGCTTATCTTTGCTTATCTTTTATAGATGCTTGTAATAGAGATGTTTCCCCGTGGGCGTTAATTGAGGGGTGGAGCCTCGTGTCGGCCATCTTGGTTGGCAAAAAGGCCTATGTGCGCGAGCAAAGCCATGTGTATGCAGGTATAGATAATGATGCAGGTGTGTTTTTATAACAGCAATGGTGGTATCTTGTTGTATCGTTAACTGTACAAACAGAGCGCAGAAGGAAAATAAGCAGAGGTTTTATAGAATACCAAAAGTGATTCAACATCTAGGAGAACAGACAAAAGATTTGACAGAAAGAAGGTGAGATTAGGCTGCCTGTGTGTTCACAGCCTGGCCTTGTGTTAGCCTGCTAGCCTTCACTGAGATATGTATTTATTATGCATTATGGCATGATGTAGGCGAGCAAAGTGGCTATCTA